ACATAACAAGTGCTTTATCCAGGGCAGCACAAGAAGCTTGAGGCAGAACTGGGAAAGGCATCAACAGCATCTGGTAGTTGAGCTCATCTTTGTGCTCTTTAGGGCAATTCAGCCCAACCTGAGATAGAAATTTAAAGGTTCTGAATTGGAGGTCTTTAAATCTCAGAGGCAGTTGAAAAGGATAGTTTTGACTAGCCTAGCTTAAACTAACAAGGCTGCCAAAGATGGGGAAATTAATTCTATCCACAGTGTGCATAGCAAAGCCAAAGAAATATTTACACATCATTGCCTTTCCTAGATGCTGTTATCCTGAATCTAGTTTTCCAGCTGAGGTAAATCCAGATGATGTAAATCATCATGACTCTATTGACATTAGCTAGCCAAAAGAATGGCCAAAAGTTTCTATGCTAATACTGGTTGTTTTTCTAGGTTGGCATAGTTTACAGGAATTGCATTGAAATGTTATTTAAATTAAAAGGGAAATAGCTCATTGCTAGTTTAGATTTCTGTTTTAAAAAAAATCTCTGACCTAAAAGGTGTTATAACCTTTTACAGGCAGAAGTAAATGCTTTGAGGAGAAAGTTGAAAATGCCAGATCCTTCCAGCCTTAAAAATCTCTGAGTGCAACATTACTGGTTAAACACAAATATCTGTATTGTGTAGAGCAACCACTCCAAATGAAAATGTGTTCTCTGCATCAAGAAAAACTGTTTTAGAGAATATATTAACCAAGGCCGAGTCTCTTTATTCATAACAAAGCTGGTAATAAAAATTTCATCAGTTAAACAGAGGAACCACAGTAAGATCAAATGGCTGGCATTGGGATTGATTTGGGGAGGGTTTGGGGGAAAGGCTGCAGCCCTGCTCTTCTCCTTTTCAGAGATTCTTAAAAATGTAATTTCTATTTTTCAAAGTTTTCTAGGTGTTTATTAAAATGAAATTGAGTTTAGAATAAGGAGGAGGAAGGGTGTGAGACTGACACAGAAATGTGGGAATAGACAGGTCAATGAAGAAGAAACAGTAAGGTCTCTGATAGTAAAATAAACACTTTTAACCTTCTTACCTTTCACGGTTGGAGATGCAAAAGTGTTCTGTAGGGTCTCTGTATGTGGTATGGATGGAGAAGGCAACGTGCAGTGTACCTGTAAGAAAAAGCAGATTTTTCTACAGGCTACTAGGCAACTCTTGACTTTTACAAGTCTAAGCTGACCTCTTTAGCCAATACTGTGATATTATTTTCACATATTAATAGATTTTTAAGGGAGGGGGAATACAATGAATATCTTTTTTGAAGTCTTGCAGCAATAGCCAAAAGATTCAACCCTGTAACTCCTGCCAATAGGCTCTGATTGAGCAACACCCTCTTTGAGAAAGTCACCAACTTATTGCAATGTCACATATTAGAAAGAAAAAAAGTTGCTTTGAGTAGAAGAAATCTTATCTTTCATGTTCTGATGTTTATCCAGAGATTAAGACTGTGAGTGGGGAATGATTGGTGCAGCTGGTAAAAGGGATCTCTGTTCTTCACCAAGTGTTGAATCTTCAGCCAGCATTCAACCAGTTGGATCTGCAGTCTGCTCAGTCTCTCCCCTTAGTTTCAGTATCACCACCACAGGAGTCAAGGATAAAATTCCCACTATAAAGAGAAAAACAATACACCACCAAATGTTGTGGATGCAGGGTGTGCCACAACACTGAGTGACACCAAAAGTCAGAGTCATTTGCATTTGTTTTCTGTGTTAGATTTTCCTCACTGTTGCACCAAATGCTTGTGCACCAGTAGCACAGAGGGCAATTCCTGGTGGCACTACAGCTCCATACTTCAAGTTCCTGGAGAGAGATGCCTACTCTTTATGAAGCAGCACTATGAAGTGATCCACTTCAGAGCAGCAATGTTTTGGCGTAGAGGATGGAGGGAGTTGTGAAGTGTTTTCATGTATTTGGTGGCAGGACAACCTGGTAAAAACCAGTTTATAAAGTCTGTGAGCATCCAATCTACTTTTGTCATCTGGACAACTAAAAGACATAAATATAGAATAACAGTATTCCAGCACGAATTATTCTTCCCTTGCCATTACCCTGAGCATTTGTGGAGCCCAAGAGTTTTGCTGACATGGGAGAGTTATACAGGTTCCCCCAAAGTGCTGCAGTCATCTGCAGTCAAGGCATGTGATTTTTCTTCTTTCCCTTCGTATCAATGTATGTTACAATTTTTTACTTGAAAGGAACTAGAAAATGGTAAAGGACAGGGGAAGCATAGTCCTTGTCAATAGATGGATTTCAACATATTCTGGGAGCACGTGAAGTAAAATTTTCAGCTGGTCTAAGCCCTCACACGTCTTGTAAGACCCTTAACTTCAGTTTCATCTGCCTTTAATTTTGGGGGAGACAAGGCATACCATTGCTTCATGTGTTGATTTTATACAGCATTTTGTTGGAAATTTTCACCTCTCTTAATAGCTTGGACCTTTTGTGTCCCCTTTATGATAGTAGTGTAGCTCAGCACTGTCTTCATCTTCAAGCAGGTCTCAATCCACTAGTGTGGAGTCTCTCAGGAAGCCTCATGAAGAAGGTGCTGGATCTGCCCAAGTGCCCTAGCAAAAGGAACTCCCTTCATTTCTGTTCACCCCCTGTCCAGTAAGATAATGGAAACCACACAATTTGTTCAGTTTCTTTCTCCTCAAAGAAATAATAAGACAAAGAGAAAAAAGCACTGGCCCACCGGATCTGTGAGGCAGATCACTGCCGAGCAGAAGAAATAGCCACAACAACAAAATGCTGGTTTCTGAGGTGCTTTAGTGCTCCAAGGAGTATTCTGCACTGATTATGTGCCAAGTCATTATTTAGGCAAATAATCTGCATTGCAGCTTCAAATGGGAGAAGCACTGAGGCACCTACTCTGTATTTGTCTGATGCAATAGAGAAACCTGATACAAGTAAAAGAAGAAAAGAGATGTTGGCCCCAGATACTGACCATCCCTGGAACATGTGTTTCACCGTCAGACTATGATAAGGGGCACCACAACACACTGTGGGCTGCACAAGAGGGAAGGATTTAAGCAAATTTTTTTTGCCTTCTCCAACAGATGTGTTGACAATCCATAAGTATATGGCTCTTCTTCACAGGAGTTATTTACCCCCAACTTGAATGTAATTTACAGGCAGTTTCCTAGCCCCCATGTCTCTCATTTCTTAAGTATATGTGTTTCCTCAAGAAAAAATAGTAAAAATCCTCTGAAACAGAAAATGGATGGAATTTAGTCCAGTCAAAACCAATCAGATCCTTCATATTTGAGGTTTATATACTTCATTGAAATGATTTGCTAATGAACATTAACAGAAACACAGAGCAGTGTTGGTCACGGGGAATTCACTTTGGTTTTGTCCTCTCTTCTCTGTTGGTGCTCACATTGTCTGACAAAAGTGGGATTTTGTACTTGGTTTTTATTACTTTTTTTAATCAAAGACATTATTGGATTCTTATTGCTTTATGGGGCCAGATTGAATAATCAAAGCTGCTTCTATCTGCAACATATAAAATTATTCAAGCTGAGATTGCAGATGCTGGGAGATGAGGGATGCATAACAGAGTCTGGAAATCTCTCTTCACCCGCACCAAGAATGTTCTTTGTACTTTGAGGCCTCATGAGTTTGAAGACTTTTCTTTGCTGGGTCTTAGTGTTGTAAAGGTGGGTTGTTTGTCGGTTAGAGCTTCAAAGTTTACCTACAAAGTGGAAAAGTTGCCTCCTACTTTCCTTGCTGGATGCTGTCAGCTCTAGAGACTTCACTTTCTTGAGGGTTCACTGAGTAATCTGATGTGTTTGACAGCCCAAAAGAGCATCAAGATAAAAGTGCTCTTAACCATTTCAGAACCAGGTAATGAATAGGAGCAAAAAGTGTGGTGTAGACATGATGTGCCTCCAATACATCATCAGCAAAACTCTGACTTTAAATGTTCACTTTTCAGAAGATAATGCAACTTTATAACAGAAATGAAAGGAAGTCTTTCTGATTGATGCAGTAAAGTAGGGCCCAGGAGACAAGCTAAAAACCTAATTGCTTCTGCAGCTTTTATGAGTGTGATTCATCTGGTGTAACTTTACCTACCCGTAAGTTAAGTGTTTAATCTACATTGGTTATTCAGGGCTCTTCTGTGAGAGAGACAGGTATTTCTAGTTCACCTGACCTATCCTAAATGATGACTCTTTCCAAGGTGCTTTATTATTTTCCTATGACAAGAGAGTAAGTCTCTTTCTGTTCCTAAACATGTAGTTTAAATGGATTCATCTCACCCACCTTCATCACTCCCTTGACATTGTAGCAGTAAGGACATTTTCTCCACCCTTTCCCCTCTGGCAGAGCTTTTGGGGACACATAAGATACCTCTGGGGTGCGTGTACGTGACTAGCTATATACAAAGGCCAGGCTAAAAGCCTGCAATAAAATGGAGGGTAGTTGCATTTTGTATTTGCCTGGTCATTCTTCTTTTTCCAAACTTCAGGTCTTTGAATTATATTCATACAGTGTCCTAGAGCGTAGTGTCTCACTGAGAATAATTAAACTTCCTCTTAGGACACTTTAGGCCCAGAAGAGTAAGCTGTTTTATGAAAAAATGACTATGAGTAATTCTTGTTTTTTCAATGATGGACTTTGAAGTGTGGCAAAATCCCAATAGCCTAGTTAGCCTAGTCAGGGATGCTAGGTTGATTGACAAACTTTTGAAAAAGTGCCTGTTCCCATTCTTACTGTTTCAGTATCATGTTTGCAAATAATAGTACAATTTGGTGATCTAGTATTTGCAGTTCTAGGCTTATCAACACTTTCCATGAACAATCATACTATTAATATCTTGAATAACATTTGTCTGTTGGTCTCATTTTCTTTTTTTCTTCTTCTTGCGAGTAGCCCTGTTGTTGTTCTCCACATTATTGTAAGCTGTTCTGTGATCAACTGAAATAAACAAAATATGGCCTTAATTTTGCTTTGTTTTTTCCTTTCAGTGGCTGCATCAACTGCTAATTCCACAGCTGGTGCGGCCATGAATTCTTTGACTTCTCTGGGTACTCTCCAAGGACTGGCTGGAGCCACTGTTGGATTGAATAATATTAATGCACTAGCAGGTACCGTAAACAGTGAGTATTTATTTGCTGTGGTGGACAGCCTTCCCCAATAATCATACCACAAAAACTATCAATTGTAAAGTGATGATTTTTAATCTATATACCAAACAAGGGGGTCAAGTTGATCCGGTTCCATTCATGGTATATATGCAGTTCTGGAGTCTTTTAGTTTCACACTGTTTGTGTTGCAAAGTGAAGTTCTGTGAGTGCCTGAACAAAGACTCCTTTTCTTTCAGTGTATGTGGAAGGTAAAAGAAATGTCACCAGAGATTTGGGTTATCGAGGTTATAGGAGAGGCCCCATTTTCATTGAGGGAGTCTGACAACAGGTATATCACCCCAATGTGCAAAGCCTCACTCAGAAATGTGGTGCTAAGAAAGATGTTTGCCACCAAGGCAGTCCTTAAAAATGTCTGTAGGAATTATCAAGTTGACTTGAGAGCAACATACTTTAAAAATGAAGGCAAGTCTTTGGTTTTTAATTGGCAAGTGTAAGAGAATGATACAGTCAGTCACCTGTAATGCCAGAGCATGCACATCTTTCCTATGATATCTTACACAAACCCTGGCATCTCCAGTTAAATAGATGCCTGTAGCTGTTATGGCATTCTTCCTTGTTCTTAGCCTTGGTCAAGATTTTCCTGAAGAAGGATTTATTTTTTTTAATTGTTTCTGCTATGATGACTTCACCTCTGCCTGCAATGGAAGAGATTTGTCTAGCTGCATTTTTCCCCTCCCTCTTTTTTCTTTAGCTGCCGTTGCTCCTTGCATTTCCTTTTGCAATGCAAGGAATCTATTTGGTCACTGCCAGCCCATGACCCGTCATAATGTACCCTCAGGAATGGATGTCCTCCTCAGTATCTCTTGCTCACTCTGATGCTCTGCATGATGTCCTTTCTGTTACTGTTACTTGGCTGCTCGCCCAATCTTTTTGTTCTGTGATCTCTGGTTGGCATTGTTGGGAGCTGGGAAGGAAGGGGGCTTATGGATGTCCGATGTTGAGTGGTTGCATGGGGTCTTGTGTAAAACAGGACTTGCTTCTGGCAAGGACGTGCATATTTCACACAAACAACCTCTGTAAACGTGACTCAAGAACAACTAAAGAAAAGTAAGTAGTAGGTCCCAAAATGGCAGATGTTAGTTTCCTTTCTTATTATTACATTAGTCTGTAACAAATGTGGATAGAGCCTTCCCAAATCTTCGTTCGCGAAGCCCAGCCATGATTACATTAGTATTGAAGCAAACCACTGGAAATGGTGAGCATGAAAAGCTAATTTACCTCCTCTGCCCTCGTGAGCACTTGTAGTAAGAGAGCTACCCTGTTGTAAGAAATCATTAAATGACCTTTCCTGACAAACTGTCATTGTGCTTCACTTGGTTTATAAGAAGTCACAATAACAAGAGCAAAATATGGCATCCCACTCCTTCCCTCTCACAAGTAGTAAGAATCTGGGCATACTGGAACACTCCAACATAATGTATCAAGACTGAACAAGAGTGAATCATCTGTGAGCTCTTTGTGTAGGAACCCTTCTGTTGCACTCCTTTTAACACTCCTTGCTAGGCTGCGAGCAGAGAGTTTACATTTTCTCAACAAGTATTCTGAGGTGATGTGTGTGCAAACTTATCTACATGTGTCATTTGAAATATTAATGATGTATTTGCAACCTAGTACCAAATTTGAACTCGTTTTAAGCCACCATGGGCTTGTACCAACAGTGACTTCAGTCCCAAATCTTCTTCATGGATGCTTTTATGGACATGGGTATAGCACTTGCAAATGTATGTGGGTATGTCTATGTACGTACATATAAGAGAGAGAGCTGAGGGGAAACTGCTTCCCCATGGCACAACTCAGTGTTATGCCTCTGTTTCTCCCAAAAGCATGACACTGATTTTCAGTTTCTGGTGCTTGTGATGCTGATGACAGTGAGGCCTTGTTCAAATTACAGCAACCTCCCCTTTCCATTTTAATGATGATCTAGGACTTTTCCCAGTGACTATGTGTGATCCAGTCATTCCCACTCAAACCTGCCTGGGAGTTTGCCTTCGGGAAACCTCACGTTCAATAAGTCTGATGTTTCACCCTGACATGGCTTATGCCATGGTCATAAGTACTCCAGTAAAAACATTCATTGGCCATGGATGTTCCTGAAGTAATTGTACAGAGAATTTGGAATTGAGTGACATGCTTCTGATTGGGGAATTAGAAAATCCAAAGCACAAGTCAGCGGGAGCGTAACCCAAAAATTAATCAGAGAGCAACACTGGGCTCAGGCATTGAGGTGTCCTGCTCTGTATGTGAGCATCATGTGGAGAATGTCTTCCATGCTGAGCTCACTAGGAGACTCTTACCTGTTTTCTGGATCCTGTCTGGGTCCATGAAAAAGAAGCTGGACTATGGAGACTGATAGTGAGAGTGAAGTGTTGTAGAAAGCTGTCTGGAAGGCTTAAAAATTAAAGAAAGTGGAGTATGGTAAGTTTAACTGTCTCCAAGGGTTTTGCAGCAGTGGTACCTACGTGTGGGGATTCACCCAGTCTTCCCTCGGTTGTTCTTGAAGAACCTAAAACCTTAAATGGCAAAACATTAGACTATCTACTTTGGGCATGTAAATTTAAAAATTTTAAGTAACAAAAAGAATTATGAATAATGAGGAAAAATTAATAAAGAGGGAGGAAGTGATTCTTTGCAATTAAGAAAGAAGACCATAGTTTCTGTATACTGAACAGCTATGGCACAGTGTTTGTGTGAGACCCCAGGGCAATCACTTAGCCTTTCTGCCCCCATATTTACATCTGTAAAATGGAGATAAAACTATTCATGACAGATTTGAAGGTGCTTGGAAAACACTTTGAAAGACCTTTGGACTTGCCAAGCATTGTTGCTTCTGTATTATGTAGAGAAACTCAGAAAAGTAGAAGGCCATAGATGAGAGGCTCCAAAAGGTTATTTCACAGCAGGGAGGAAGGGACCAGAGTTCAATGTCAGACGGAGGTGCATTGGTAGAGATAATAAAGAGATGGCAGAGATGTGTAACTGCAGCTGGGCCTTGTAGATGTCATAAAAATGTAAAAAGGCAGAACAGAAAAAACGTGGAGAGCTTTCTGCAGCTCTGTTTTGCTCAGAAGGGAGATGTATTAGACACGTGCACTGTGGCAGCAGTGGCTGTGCCCTTCCCAGAAGCAGTGCCCCGAGCTGGGCTGTCTGGCTATTTGCTAATCTGGAATCACTTGGTGGGAAGGGGCTATTGATTCTTGGGGAGAGAAGGGGGAGCATGCTGCCCACTGCAACACAAAGCATGTTTATCTAATAGGCTGATGACTCACGAAAGATAACATGTTATCCTAATGTTATGTCTGTTATCAAGTTATTTCAACACTAATAAAAGAGAGATACAAGCTGCTTTATCAGGAACCTCTACTTTAAGCATCCCTCTGTGTAGCCCCATGCAAGCAGCGGCACAAACCTATGTCCAAAAACATCAGAGCAGATTAAGGTCAGCCTCAGGATCAAATTAGTAGTAGCAGTAGTATTAAATACATAATATGTAATATATTGCATATTATACATAATTTATTATAAAAGTTATTGTTGTTATTTTTCTTGTTATTATAATATTTTAAATACCACTCTATCACTCCCCCTCCTAAAGGGGCAGGGGAGAGAAAATACAGCAAAAGACTCATGGGTTGAGATAAGGGCAGGGAGAGATCACTCACCAACTACCACCATGGGTAGAACAGACCTGACTTGTGGAAATTAGTTTAAATTATTACCAATCAAATCAGAGTAGGGTAATGAGAAATTAAACCAAATTTTAAAAACACCTTCTCCCCACCCCTAACTTCCTCCCAAGCTTAGCTTTATTCCTGAATTCTCCACCTCCTCTCCCCCAGTGGCACAGGAGAATGGGGAGTGGGGTCTGTGGTCAGTTCATCACATGCTGTCTCTGCTGCTCCTTCCTCCTCAGGGGTTGGACCCCTCACACTCTTCCTCTGCTCTAGCATCAAGTCCCCACACAGGAGACAGTTCTCCACCAGCTCCTCCAGTGTGGGTCCCTTCCCACTTCTTCACAAACTACTCCAGCGAGTATCCCATCCACAGGTGTTCCTTCAGGAACAAGCTGTTCCAGTGTGGATCCCCTGTGGGATTGCAAGTCCTGACAGCAAACATACTCCAGTGTGGAGCAGAAGGGCTCCTCTCTGCACAGGTCCACAGGTCCTGCCAGGAGCATTGGCTTCCCACAGCATCACAGCCTCCTTCAGGTATCCACCTGCTCCAGTGTGGTGTCCTCCATGGGCTGCAGGTGGACCTCTGCTCCTCCATGGACCTCCAGGAGCTGCATCACGGGCTGCAGGGGCATCTCAGCTCTGGTGCCTGGAGCACCTCCTTCCCTTCCCTCTTCACTGACCTGGGTGTCTGCAGGGCTGTTTCTCTCACATATTCTCACTCTCCTCTTCTGTGGCTGCAGTTCCCATTTCACGGGGGTTTTTTTCCCCTTTTAACTATGTTACCCCAGGGGTGCTACCACCATCACTGATGGGCTCTTGGTCAGTGGTGGGTCCATCCTGGAGCTGGCCTGGCATTGACTCTGTGGGACACAGGAAAAGCTTCTGCAGCTTCTCAGAGAAACCATCCCTGCAACCCCTCCACTAACCACACAAGCCCAATACAGTTTTGTAACTGGAACCATTATACAAGAAATACACAGGTCTCTTGAGCTCTGACAGAGATTTTTGTTCAAAGCAGTGGCAACCAGTACCTCCCATCAGGGTATAGTGGTGCTCTGAAGTGGGGTGGAGAGGAAAGAGAAATCTTCAAAGTGTGAGACATTTTATTAAGGAAAGGCTAAGAATATCACATCTCTGTCAAGTGTTAGTCACACAAATTATAGTAATATCAAAAGGTATAATTTATGCAGTACAATTCTCTTAATTGGCACAGACTCTGGTGGAGCCAGAAAGGTGCCACTTGAGCAATTGTCCTGATTATTGGAGACTCATAGGAATATGCTTTTCAAATCTGCATAAGAGATGGAAGGATACTGGGGTCAGCATCTTTATCCTCCTCTGTCAAGGCAGGATAATTCCCTGCAGTATTCTTACTATCTCTAAATTGCTCATATGATAAGGTTTATGCCATTTTCCTTCAAGATTTTTTCCCAGTCTAATATGTTTCATTGTTAATTTACTGAAAGTGTCTTCTGCCTAATTTCCCCACTTTCCCCCAATTTACATACCAACCCTTATTACAGCTCTGAAATTAAGCCCTTTCTTTCTCGTCCGTGTTCCTGGTTTTGGAGTCTTAATATGGCACCACCATATTAAGAAGTCACCTCTTCACCCATCATTCTGCCAACCAAAACACTGCACAGTCAACGTCCAAGAAATGATCTCTGGTGATTCTGGGTGCCCCATTTTTCTAGTGACTGATCTGCTCTACTCAAGGGGTCTGACTAAGCTCTTTAAGTTGTCTGTGAGCTGCTCACTTAGAAGCTGGGGTGCATGGGATAGCTACTTGTGCAGAAAACATGACCTCTCAGTCCTGATGGGCACTTACTGCTCAGGTTGACACAAGCTGGGCATGTGGAAGATGAGCAGGGCTCTGAACTCTGCCACGCTTTTGATTTCAAGAGACTGCAGCTCTAACAGAAAATCCACTTTTCTGGAATTTCTGAAATAATTGTTAAGACTTTTAACTTCAGCATAACTCATTTAGGAGCTATGCTGAGAAACAGAAGCAATGGAGAGAGACTGCAGCCCAAGAGTTTGTATCAGAGTAGTACAACTCCTTCTGCAGACCACACTGTTTGAAGGAATGAGAGGTGCCGTTTTCCACCTAGCTAGCAATCCCACCTGAAATCTCCTCTTTAGCAGCCATCCCAGTTAAATTACTCTGTTATTTATCAGGATGTAGAATCGCTTTAAGTAAAAAAAAAAGAAAAATGAAGTGATTCTGCTTCCCATGAGAAGAAAGACATTGCTAGAAACAAATGCTTTTGTTTCTTCATGAAAGATACCTAGTCTGGATGAAGCATTTTTAGTCACTCTAGATGTGCTGCTGTTCATCTCTTGTGGAGTAAGTGGAGGAGGAGGGTGGAAGTAAGCAGAGAGCATCACAGTCCATCTTCTTACCACAAGCCTAAGGGACAAAGCTCATAATTGTAAAGAGGGTTATCATAGAATCATTTAGGTTGGAAAAGACCTTTAAGAAGTTGTTTCAAAATGCAGTTAAATCAGGGTTTTCTGCTTACTCTGGAGAAGCAAAACACTTCTGATATGGTATAGTCACGGCCTGTTGCTGAAGACCCTGGTCAGAAGGAGTGGGTTTCCTAGCAGACCACTTTTCCCAGTGCCCAGCTTACAAGGATACAGGTCAAATAGGTCCCACTCTCCCAGCTTCAGACACCTACAGCAGAAGCACAGGTGTGGAGGAGGGTGAGCAGAGAGGCTCTCAGAAGCGGTAGTACTTGCCAGTAGCAGGCTGCATGCGAGTCCATTTGACTGTGCAACCCTTGTGCTGAAGTGACCCTGATGCCAAAGTCGTGTTTCTTTGTTTTCAGTCCCATTTTGGTGGAGTGCCGAGCTGCATGCACCGCTGTCGTTGTCAAGTGTCGTAAATAAATAACCAACGACTTTCGGAAAGCACTAATGAACAAGTGCAATTTCTTTTCTCTATTGTTGGGTTTTTTGTAAAGTTGCTCAAATGCTCTCAGGTATGGCGGCCCTGAACGGAGGACTCGGCGCGACAGGCTTGACGAACGGTACGGCCGGCACGATGGACGCGCTCACCCAGGCCTACTCAGGAATCCAGCAGTACGCCGCCGCCGCGCTGCCCACCCTCTACAGCCAGAGCTTGTTGCAGCAGCAAAGCGCCGCGGGCAGCCAGAAGGAAGGTAAGTGCCCACACCACTGAGTCACCCACAGCCAAGCCACAGCGGTGTCTTTCGCCTTGGAGATGTAGTGAAAGACCTCAAGTAGTCTAATTTATGGCTTTTTGTTTTCTTCCAGTTTTCTCCTGTTTAGTGTTGTCGCCTTCTTTAACCTTCGCTTTTAACCATCTGTCCTTCAACTTACACCTTGCTGACCATCCTTTCTTATTTCATAGAATATTCTGAGTAATAATAATAATAATAATAAACTGCACTTTCACAGAATGTTCTGAGTTGGAAGGGACCCACAAGGATCATCGAGCCCAACTCTTAAGTGAAGGGCCCATACAGGGATCAATCCCACAGCTTTGGTGTTAGCACTCAAACCCACAACCTTGGTGTTAGTAGCACTATGCTCTGGCCAACTGAACTAACCTGAGGCTTCAAATTAGTACGGCCTGTAAAGCTTCTTTAAATAAGAATAGAAATTTTAAGGTCTGATCTGGCTGGCTTTTTGCAGACACTCTCCAAGCCCAGCAGAGCTCTCCTGAGATGCAGTGACTGAGCTGCACAAATCCTGTTGCTGGATAAGAGCTTCAGCTTGAAATTTCCCTTCTATAAGGACATCCTCTCATTTCACAGAATATTCTGAGTTGGAAGGGACCCACAAGGATCATTGAGTCCAACTCTAAAGGGCGCATACGGGGATCAAACCCACAACCCTGGTGTTAGTAGCACTATGCTCTGACCAACTGAGCTCATATAAAAGCATTTACCAAGTACCATGTAAAAAGGCTCTACTAACAAAAAACATCCCTTTATGGATGCAATTTTCTCTTCTGGTTTCCAAATTCCATCATAATGGAGTTAATCTGATTAAGTTTAAGGTTTTGAGCTAATGACAAGATCCGTTTTCACTTTGAGTGGTTCTTTGCTTAATTGTGGGTCTTGTGGGGAAGCAACTAAGTGAATGATTGCCCCCTCTCCCAGCGCCAACAGCAAATAAACCTCAGGAAGTCGTTGCTGAGAATAAATGAATATTAATTACAAGGGGTTTAGGAAAATGAGTTTACCCTTTTCCCCTCTTCCCTTCCCTTGCACACTTCCCAGGCATTCTGGGGGCTTGTTTCTCTTTTCCTGGCTTTCTCTCATCCTAATTTCCAGTTAGTTCTAGAAAGACAGGAAGATGCTGCATGCTTTCTAAGACTTTATCTGTGTTATCACTACTGTTCCTTGCCAGGGGTAAGCTTTGAAAATAAACCTAGTATAATATCCTCAAGAGAAATCTTTTTTATCCTCTTTTGAAATAGTATCTTGTACTGTTATGGGATGCGTTTCCTAGGAAGACAAATTTGGCATTCCCCCAGATAGGGACACTGGGCTTAAAATGTGTATTTTGTCTGATGTCTCTCCTTCATTTACTGCTAACAGCTTGGATTATTTAAAATTAAAGGGTTTTTTAAATTGTTTTGGTTTTGGTTTTGTTTTTTTTTGTTTATGTTTTCTACATTTGTCTTTCACCTTGGGCACTTTGGTCAGTGACAATAGACTATTTGACACCAGAAAAAAATTCTTTATTTGGTGTCACTGCAAGATACACAGTGGAGGGCAGTTTGATTTTTTTTCTATTTTAATCTTTTTCTCTTTAGAAACATTCAAATCAGATTTAGGCTTATTTTTTATTGTTATAAATTGGCAGCAAGCCTTTTAAAATATAGTAATTTTTGTTACATGTCTTGTATCTGTCAGTAATCAGTTAAGTTAAAGTGAGTAAATTCCATCATTGAATACTGGCAACAATGTTTTGCCTCTTACCATGATTTCTAATGGAATGATGAAGAGTCTGGAGCGACTGAGGATAGACGAGTACTAGAGAAAAATGCTATATAAGCATTAAATGCTGAAGCATAGTGAACTGCCTCATGCATCTGCTCTTAAATATTGTTTAATAAGGTTTTTTTCTTACTATTTTAAGAAATATTGTTTACTGGAAATTATAGTTTACTTGAGGTAAGAAGAAATAAGTTCCAGGAGACAAGTTTTTTTTCATCTTTTTTTTTTCCCCACCCCCAAAAAAATGTTGGGGTTTTTTTTCCCCCTAACCCATTTATCCCCTCCTTTTGGGCAAACACTGCAATCTTTTTCTTCAGGCTGAGAGAGCAGCCAACCTGGTTCTTCTGTATGGAAGAGGTGAGGCTTTGTGGCTCAGTTGCAGAAGGAACCCATAAATCTGATGTTCGCTTTCCTCTCCCTCTCCAGAATACCAAGGACATCACATCCAAGGCGTATTTAGGTTCCATTAAGCAAAGAAATACTTAATCAGGTTGTTCTAAAAATGTTTTTTCCAGAAATGTTTGTTCCCTTTGTGTTCCACTTATGCTTCTGGAGCCTGCCTGGGGAGGGCCCGTGTGTGGCTCCATCATATATCATGTTCTTCCTGGCATCCATTGCTCATTTCCAGTATGTTACTCTAAAGGCAAACTTGAGCTAGGGAGAAAAACCAACCTATTAGTGCTAGGATGAATGTTTTAACCAACAACTTTAATAATGCATATCTCAAATTTTGTCCGTAAGACAAATATCCAAAGCACCTTTGAGTTTGCACCTCTCTTTGCAGACTGAACAGTCTAAAGCTGCTTTAATTTCAAGCCAACTACGTAATTTTGAACTTCTTTAAAATACTTAATTTACAAAGTTTCTTTCAGGAGACAGAGCATTCTATGGGGAATTTGTATTAAAAAAAAAAAAAGCTCATTTTGAAATGAGTCAGTACAAATTTAATTCTGAGTGTCTTTCTCTCTCTGACTTCACTGACTTCCAAGTCACAAGGTGTGCTTTGCCTTATTGCTTTTATTCCCATCTCCACCATTTTCCTGCCCTTTGAGTTTAAGTCTGTGGTACTGAAATCTGAGCTCAGCTCATTTCCTTTCCATTTGAGGCAGCAGAGGACTCCTTGTACAGTTCTTGGGGTATTTTGAGAGAGCAATGTTTTCCTAACCCTAATTATACTGCAAGACACTCATATAAATTGAAGAAAGGGAATGAATTTTATTACTTCTGTAGTAGAATTATAAAATAAGTGCTTTTCATAGTAAACACTTTTCAAGATGGGATGCTCTAAAGAGCCGCATTTCAGCTGTACTCCTTTGATGTACTCCACTTGCTTTTGTTCCTTTGAATTTGGAAAATGAAATGCTTTCTGACCATCATCTTCAGTAAGTATTATGGAAAAATAGATTAAATGTAGCACTTGTGATGGCTGTTTTCATACTTCTTTTTTTTTTTTATTTATTTTATTTTCCTAAAGGTCCAGAAGGGGCAAACCTCTTTATTTACCACCTCCCCCAGGAGTTTGGAGACCAGGACATTCTGCAGATGTTCATGCCTTTTGGAAATGTTATCTCTGCTAAAGTCTTCATTGACAAACAGACCAATCTGAGCAAGTGCTTTGGTATGTCAAATTTAATAAATCAAATAGTAAAAACCACATGCACTATACTGAAAAGGGGCCAGGAAAGAAAATTAGCAGCAATGTGAGAAGTGTCATACTGGAAACTCGTTCCAATAATAATGGACTGTTAATCCTCAAATGAGCAGGAAGATGCACAGACAAACTACTTCTAACTAAAAATTGGATATGAAAAAACAATAATAATCTTCCAGTCTGACATCTCACATGAATGTGTCAAGTACAGGAAAGTAATTACACCCTGTGTGAGGGAATGTCATTTAGTATACTATTAAACTGCCTTATTATGGATACCTAATTATTCTCTATTGTATAGCTGAGCCACTTAAAAACATTTATGTTTAACCCATTACTTCTACATTACAGGAATTTCTTTCTTCTGAATTAAGTACAAGGTTTTGCAATTAGTGACTGAATGGTGTGTGCATGTAGTTCAGAACATTTTGCAGACAATTGATGTCTAGATGTGCAGCTCCAGCTGTTGTGGGTGGATTCCAATGTATTATGGAAGGTGGCATCTCCCCTTACCTTAGGGCAGGGATGAAGGGAGCCTCGCAAGGTCAGTGACAGGTTTCCCAGGGAATACTTTGAGCTGTCAGAAAATTAGATTACAGCAGAGGAGAAGATGATATGTTTGTATTAAAGTAGTTTTAGGGTTGACTAAGAGGGCTGATGTCTTTTGAATAGCAGAGATGGACCAGTTCGGTTTGGTGCTTTGATGGAGTGGAGTAGGGAATGTGAGTGGCAATCTATTAGAACATTGGTCTAATAATTGTGGTCTTATGCAAGACATAGGGAGGATCTAGGAATAGGAAAGACTCTCTTAAAGATAAGTTTTATAAGGTTTGATGTGAAGTATTGTAGCTTCCTTTAAAGTGACAATTCTTTCCTGGAGTGAAGGAATTCAGCTGTATATATGACAAAAAAATAACCAGTTCAGAAAACCCCCTAGTTTCCAAAATTCCTTTGTACTGCCAGTGTTGCTCTTTGCCCAACACCTTCCCTTGGTTCTGAAGTGTCCTCATGTGAAGTGTCCCATTAACCATAATACATGTTTATTAGCTTGCATAACATTACTATTTTTTTTAAATCTAAGTTTTGCCAAAATGTGTCTGTCTAAGGCTTTGTCTTCCCCAGGGCTTTTCAAGTGCCCCACAGCTATTGTGCTTTAACCTGTTTTGAAAGGATTTGAGTATAACTAAACAGACAGCACCCAAACATGAGGATTCATCAAGTTACTCAAAAGTACCTACTGCACCACAATACCTTGTCACTGTCTGAGTGTTTTGCACCTGAAGACAAGCCTTTAGTACACTTGGAAAGTTGATTTGGTTCATAGAACGGGTGTGACATTCTTTGTACATTTTCCCATAGTCTTTCCATTTGTTTTTGAAGCATTCACCTCTTTAGGCTTTACAAAAAAATTATTCATATCTAGATGAGTATAGTCCAGCCTTTGTCTGCAGTGGGTTAAAACAGTCCCTCAGGCTGTTGCAAATTTGAAAAGTGGAATTGAAATGGACTCCCTATTGATCTGGAGCCAGTTCTGTTAGTAGGTTGGGGTTACAAAATCATTTTTGAGGTCTCCAGGAATCTTGATGAAATGTCAAATCAAGCTACGTTAATCGAAATGCAGCAATTGTGGTGACTGCTGAAAGAATGTAAATTACTTTGGGCAGGTGGCTCAATTCATCAGCTCACTTCCCATACTTGCTTTTCATAGTTTTCCTTTTATTTTTTGATTATCTACTTACATATATGTCTGGATTTATGGGACACAATTTACCTAACTTAGAGTGATACACCAAGGTTATCTTCTTTGAGGAAAAATGAAGATGTCAACAGCCAATGGATGTAGCAATTCTCTGTCTTTTTGGTTTTAGGCAGCTTTCACTGATATTTCCATTTCTCATTGTTCCTTCACAGATATTCTGCCACTAGGGAGAGAGTTCTGCTTTAAAAACTAAAAGTAGTGAAGTAGCAGAGGAAGTTGAAGTTTTCCGATTCAGTAGGTGACAACTTGGTGATGCTGCCAATCAGAGGCAAAGCCAGAATTAATCCTGCTATTTTAACATACTGGCATACTCTGTATGTACCTCCTCAGCTTTATTAGCAGGAATTATGTCTTTGTTGTTTTGGTCTCACAGTTGTCTTTGAAAACACTTTATTTTTTTTTTCTCTGCCCTCCCACCCAAAAACTAGGGCTGAAGAACCCATTTCTCTCCTGTGTCATTAATGGTCATTGCTCTTGGTACAGTTTGAGTTTGAGGGTTTTTGTTGCTTTGTTTTGGTCTTTTTTCCCCTTGTAATAATAATAGTAATGGTTTGCAGATGCTTAGTGCTTTCTACTCTGGAGTTTCCAATCTCTTGCCCGAAGGAGGAGGAAATGAAATTGCAGATGAGAACAGGTTAAACATCCAAAAGGTGTAAAGATTGTCCAAGTCTGTCTACTGGCAGAAGGGAAGGTGCATTCTGAGAGAGTCACAGGGTAGTGACATACAGTGATGAACTTCCATGTAACACTGCCTCTCAGAATGAAAAATTCCTTTTCTTTGCAGAAAATGGACTTTGCTTTCTTGTCCACCTCAAAATGAATGCTCAAAGGATTTAATGGTGATAAGGATGACAGGACAGTCTGTTTACATCTGGGAGTGCTCTTCCATGAGTTCTCATGGGCTTTAGTTGATTCAGCAGACAAAGGGTTTGACTCCTCAAGCTTATCTCTCACCTTTCATAAATCTTAGAATAAGTAAAATGTAATATGTAAAAGTAAGGCAGGAGATGGGAGACCCAGTGACATCAGTGCATAAATGCAGCCTACCTCATAGCAAAATTGCTACTTGAATGATTAAAAATATTAATCCTGATTATAGAGATACCTAGAGTATCTCTATACTCAAAATCAGAATTGTCATGACAGGGACTTCACGAAATGAGAAGAAACATCATCCCAACCTCATGTAACCTGTGGTTTAAAATTCAGACAAAAAATTATGAATGGGTGCAATCAGAAAAATATGAATAGAGGGAAGGAATGCCAAATTCCTCTGTAAGCTTATTAATGAAGGTTCTCAATAAGGAAGAAGATGAGAGTGTAACAGGTTAATGCAGGTACAGCATTCTGTGCAAAGAGAGAAATTATGAATCAGAATAACAATTGAATTATATGGGCTGATGCCACTGATGCAGCACGGATGTGTGTTTGAATTGGGTGTCTGGGTCAAGGAAGCTATTAAAGAGACATAGAATCAGGTGACTTGTCTCACCTCCCTAGAAGGTAAGCATAGCCTGAGCTAATTGTTCTTCTGTCATCAGTGGAGATGTCTAAACTGGTGACATGAATGGTGGGTGGAAAAGCCACCTCTGAATGCGCTTCCTTTTCTTCATTCACCATCAAAGTGTCTGATGTAAATCACCAGTTTAACTTCAAGGTGGATAAAACTAGGTAAGAAGAAAAGGAACTAAGGTGGTGAGAAGTTCATAGAAGTAGACCATTCTGAATGCATTTAAAAGAATAAAGTGAAGGTCAGGAAAGCTGTAGAGGGAAATGCTTGAATTTTCAAGGTAGGTGAGAGTAGCTGCATCTCAGTTGTGGAGCACCTGCCTGGAAAGTGCTACTGCTGCCTTCCAACTCATGGTAGTTCACTTTTCTATCCCCGAGGCAATCCTGGAGATCAAGGCTGAGATCTGTGAGCTGTGAAAGGAGACACAGGACTGCAGAGCTAAGACAGTGATTGGAATCATGGTAACAGATAGGATCTCCTAGAAGAAAATAGGGGAAAGGAAGGAAGAAAAAGAGTGATGAAGCTCCTAGGATATGGCAGTTACATTAAGCAGTGATGATCTAGTGGAGAAAGTAAGGGACAAGAGTTACTAAAACCAAGGAAGGTATGGAGGAATATTTATTATCCCTTGAGGAGATAACAAATAACACAGAACAACATGGATAGAGCATATTGGCTTTGGCCAGGAGAAGGTCTGCAGAGATTTAAGTGGGAGGTGTTTCTGAGTAGAAGGAACAGAATTGAGCCTGAGTTGTTCAGAGAAGCATCTTAAGCTAAATAGTTTGGTGAAGTTGATTTAAGGTGAGGCCATAGGGATGGTCTATGAAGGAGAGCAGCTGGACAAGGACCAGATGACTTGATAACAGGGTTTTTTCTTTGTAATGGAGAAAGTGTAACATTCTGACTCTGCAAGTGGAAGAGGGCAGCAGTGCAAGGTCAGCAAAAGCCATAAAAGAATAGGTTAAAGTAATGGGAAAAAGAGGTTATGGATCCAAAAAGTACGCAGACACTAAGCACAAATGAATAAAGCTCGTTTGTGGAAGAGAGGCACTGAAAAGCCTGTGTGTTAGCAACAAAGTGTGTGGCATCCATGCTGTAGGAGAATGAAGGGATATGTGTTAAGGCAAATTCAAGTGGAAAGAAGAGGGAGCATTTCAAAGCAGATGCATAACAGCAGGCTGAGTGTAGCAATAATTAGTCCGAGCTGAGGCAGAGCAGCAGTTAGGCAAGCTGTGCAATTACAAGTGGGAGGCCCAGATATGAAAATGAATGTTGAGCTTCCAGAATCAGGGAGATTTGAGTATATTATGAACAGAGCATTTCTAGTCTCCCAGGGAAAAGAAAGCTGAGCCAGGCCAGCCATTCTGAATTACCTTAGCAAGCATTATCCCCCTAGTTAGTGCTCGCAACCGAGGAGCAGATCTGGAGTTCTCATCAAGCCCTGCCATTGTCTGTATGATGCTGCTTAATTTTGATTTTTGCACGCTCCTTTGGGGACCAAGAGGCTGAATTAACAAACATTAATGTACCCTAAGATCTTGAACTGGAAGGAGCTGTAAAAATACAAAATATTAATATTGCAGCTGTCCTAGGCTGAGTCCAAGGAGATGAGTGTTCCATATCACACGTGAACTCACATCCAGGTGTACCAATGGGTATAGGGAGTTTGGGGTTTGATTCTGTAACCAGGCTTTCTGTTTTAGCTTCCTATCTGCAGGTTGGCCTAAATAGTGTTTCCTAATAGTCTAGGAGGTATGTAGATATTACACTGAAAAGTGCCACAGTAATAAATATCTTCAGTCTCTAAGGTAGGTAGATAAATAACAGACTTGAAAACTGCATTGCACCAGAACAGGCCAACTGCATCCCAGCTAGTAAAGAAATATTATGAAGGTAAAGGGGAAGGCAAAGGAAATGGGAGAGGAAATGGGATATGAAATGTGCTGAAAGAACTAATTGAAAGCAAGGTAAATGTATCGAATAAATAGTGATAATAAAAAACCTAACAAAATGCCATCTGACATTTGTTCTAACCTGTAGTTGACTTTCTCTCCCACCTCTGTTCTGTGTCTCCTAGGTTTTGTTAGCTATGACAATCCAGTCTCTGCACAAGCTGCTATCCAGGCTATGAACGGCTTTCAGATTGGCATGAAACGCTTGAAGGTTCAGCTGAAACGCTCCAAAAATGACAGCAAACCTTACTGATCTTAACCCCAGATGCTTACTGCTCTTATTTTAGCTTTCTTAGGGTAAGTCCCATGAGCAAACCTGTCCTCTGCAGGGGGGTTAAGAAAGAACATAGAGCCAACCTTCACCAAGAGACAGTTATTTTTACAGTTACCACTTCCATTTCCCCACTTGTCCTTATTACACTTGGCTCCCATTTCCTTGCCAAGTAATTACTGAGTTGTGTTACTGTATTTTGTTTTGCAGCATAATTTATCTCCTTTTTGAAACAAAAATAAACGTCTTGAAATTCAAAACAGCACACACACACAGACACAAAAAATGTGCAATTTAACTCTGTGAACCCTGGTGCCATTAGCACACAATAAAAGTTGTTTTCTATGGATGGATCGTATTTTACCAGGGTGGCACCAGCAGTTTATAGGTTAAACAAAATGGCCTCATGCCAGTTTGAAGCACTTACTTTGCAACAAAAATTGAAACAAGTCTTTCCACTACATCAACTTGTTTTTTGAGAAGATTTGATTTTTTTTTTCGGTTCAAATCAACGTATTGTTATATATTAGTCTGATTTTACACTGGTCGTCTTTATATTTCATTTTTTTTAAGTTCTTGGTTTTTTTTGGAAAGGATTAATGTAAAAAAGATTTAGAGATCTGTTTCTAAAGCTACAGGGTTTAAAATAAAAAAAATAAAATAAAATGAGTGACAATACTTGATGTTTCTTGAGAGATAAATTTAATAATAATAAAAAAAAAGAAAGCCACAGGCCTGTAAATTTTATTTGTAAAAAGCATTTCTATTTTTATACAAAATTTTTACTGCCTCAGAAATAATGGAATTTATTTATTGCCTATTGTTAACTTATTGGATACCTAAAGAGCAGCTCTCTATGCTAGCTAGATCCTTTGAAGTAGTCTCTAGAGTAATTGTGCCAAGAATGGGCGCTTTTTCACTGTTGAACCCTCCACCCTTTACAGTTCATACTTTTATCCTCTTGTTTGTATTTGTCTGGTTATTTTGTTTGTAGTTTCCATTACCTAGTTTAAAGTTTGGTTGTCTGACCCTTCCCTCCCCTCCCTGTACCTTTCTGTTACATTTGTAGAAACTGGTTCTTTCCTCTCTTTTCTCCCCAAAGAGGAATCCATTCTCTCTGACTCCTTTCAGATGGATCCTTTTGGGGTTCCATTGTGCTCTTGTTGACAAGTATTGTGAGTTAATGCAAATTATGTGAACGGCTCATAGGCTCTACTGATGAAAGATTTGCATTGGTTTTCTCCTGTACCCATAAAAGTGATTTTGTTTGTGCTGCATAGATTCTGTGTAACTTTTTTTCCTCTTCCTTGTTTTTTCCCTAGACATCTCCATGCCCGTTAGCCCATCGTTTGCCTAGCATGTCCCTGTGGCGTCTCAAAAAAAAAAAAAAAAAAAGTTTCATCGTCCCGTCATTGTTTCTGATGTCTTTCTGACCTCACATCATATTTGGTTCTCCTACTGACCTAGTTTGACCTTTGAAATTTGCATGTGACCTCATCTAGCTATGAATTCTGGGAAGTCAATGTGAAAAAACATTGCTGCATTCATGCAAGACTGAAATTTATTATTAGATAAATTAATGATAGGATTTAAAAACAACCTGTGGCAAAATGTTTTTTCTTTCTTTCCTTTTTTTTTTTTTCTGTTCTTTTTTTTTTTCTTTTGGTTTTTGGTTTTCTTCTTTCCTTGGAGTTTTTTTGTTTGGGATTTTTGTTTTGGGTTTTGTTTTCTTTTTTTTTGGTTTGGTTATTTTGGTTTTGGGTTTTTTTTGGTGGTTTTGGTTTTCGTTTTTTCATTTCGTAAAAAAAAAAATAAAAAAAAAAAAAACAGACTTGAAAGTATTATACAGGGATTGGCATTCTGCCTGGTCACTGGTGACAATAGCAATATGTGTCCAGAGGCACAGAATGTTGGTTTCTAACAGACTACTTCCAAAACAGTTTGAGAAATAAAACTGTCTGATTTTAAGTCTCTAGAGGTCTGTAATAGTTTTTACATTTTTCAGGCAGTGTAAAGTTTTTTGATAAGGCCATTTTAGGTGGCTCACTTTCTCATTAAAGTATATATATAGAACCACTTTTTGTAGATTAGTATAAGAAAATATTTACCCTGTTTTAGGGCAAATGCTACCTACTTGTGTCACCTTTTGCTGAACTGACTCACAGTTAGACAATCCATGGTTTAATGCACATGAAATTACCTATATTTTATACTGTTTCAATGTACAGAAGAAAGGTTACTGTAAAATGTGTTACGTTGGTGCTTCTGTGAATTAAGTTGTGGTTTCATCATGAGTCTTATGGTCTTAAGTGTTCTATGTTTATAAAAAGACGAGTTTAAAATTGGTTTACTTGAACAACAAGAACAAAAACAACATTCAAAAAAATAAAAACACAAAAAAAAAGTTGTTTGCTTAAAAAAAAATAATAATTTCATGTGAAAAATGAAAAAATATTCCAGAATAAGTTTGTGTTGGCTTGTGACGCATTGATGTCATTTTTTTATTGTGAACAATTTAGGTGTGTTTGTGTTCAGCAAAATGTGATCGGTTTTTCTTTTAAAGAAAAAAAAAATCAGTGAAACTATAGTGCCAAATTCCAAAGGTACTTTCTTCCTAGAGCTTCAGTGTGTTTCTTGTGTGAAGTAATTTGATAACATGGGTATTTTATTATGTGTTTTGTATAAATCCCTAATATTTAAAGAAAAAAGAGGTTAAAAAGTTTGTTAACTTGCTATCCTGTGGTCTTGTTGCCTGAAATTGTTATTGTTTGTTATTTCTCTTTGATGTTTTTTGTAAAACATTGTATAAGTGCCCATGTTTCACTTTTTTAACCACTCTGCACACATCAATGCTGTGAAAGCAAACCTCACTATGTATTTTCTTCATATTGTATGGAAACCTCTAAGGTGAGAAAGTTTTGAACTTTTAACCCTTTCCACCCAGAGCTGTCTTGAGTGTTAATACCTTTTATACATTCACCATTTTGCTGTTTATTTTTATATATATATCTATATCTATAAATATATATATACTTAGTTTTTTGTGGTTTATTTAATACATGGTTGAAATCAGAACAATGCACAGGGCAGATCTGAAGGACAAAAATATTTTACTGCTGTCTAAATTTCTTCTGTATCTATAACTAAAATTATTTAAAACAGTAATTAACTTGTGGTTTTCCTTTTTAGATTTTGGGGATTTTGTCTTTTCTTAAAGAGCTTTTAATATGCTGCTGGAATATGCTATTCAGTATTAATAAAATAAAGGAAAAGAAAACAATTCTTTAATTATCTATTGTGTGAGCCACTCCCAGCCCGGAGCGGTCAATCCACCATTTGAAAACCTTGAGGGGGAAAAAAAAAAAAAGAAAAAAAATAATAATATTTTTGTAATTTAAATAAATGAACTTTTGCTTAAATCAGATGCACTAGATCTTCCTGGGTGAAAATTCAGTGTGCACTGCAGTTAAACTACTTTTTGTGGATAAAGTTTACATACACTGTAATGTTTGGTGTTATCTGCCATTATTTGTCACGGCAATATATTGGCTCACTCCTGCAGACACTCATACAGAGGGGAGTGACTTCACTCGTCCCAGTAGTCCATGGGAATATCTGGGTGACTGATGTGGGTGTTTGCTGGAGGAAGCTCTGTGTGAGGAACCAGAAAAGAGATGCTGGTAGCCCTTTTTACACTGCCTTGTAAGTCTGATTAGGTTGCATTTCTACCGCACAAGTAGTGACCAACAACCAAATTCGGTTCTTTGCCACCGGTCTAGTGAATTCATTGCCAACCCAATGCGTGTGAGCAGCAGTACCTGCTACCGATCGTAAAGTGCCATACCTTCTTCCACCTCCTAGTTCTACCCAATTCTGTTTGAAGCCGCCTCAAATTCAAAAAACTAAGCCCTATATGAGCAACATCAGCTGGTGCACTCTTGTCTCTCATCCCCAACTTAAATGCTTCTTTACGTAGAGCCCTGGGATGGAAAGGACTAGCCTCTAGTGATGCAAAAAAGTTTCCTTCTTATAGCACATGCACTTATAAATAAATGATCTACACTTTTCTCACGTTTTTACTACTGCTGGGGCCTTCCTACACCCTTTGAGGGCTATTTTGTACTACTTGCAGCAATTGTGCGTATTCAAAGTATCATCTCACGTACGTTATATTATATATATGTACATATATATATATATAATATGAGATCATCATTTGGATTGTTTAGACTGTTTCACTAATATTTCTCATTGTACCCACTGTCTAAATTTCTAAAGCTTTTTTAGATGCCCTGGTGTGTCCTGTGGGTTTACCAGTCCAGTTAGAGTGGTGATGCTTCTGGTCCTCAGGCAGTGTAATTCGGCACCAGGCTGCCCTGAATTACACTCCACAGGACATTGGCTTAGCAGTGGGAGAGGAGGAATGTTTCTGTACTTCCAGGCAACTGAGATGGCTCATTGCTTAGAAAAGAGTCCATCTTGGGGGGAAAAAAATTAAAAAATAAAATAAAATTCAAGTGCAAAACCAAAAACCCAAACGTACACCTCCTGGGAGACAAATTACGTACCAGTTCTCTTTCAAAATATTGAAAGGATAAAGCTGCAAGGGTGCAAGGGCCTAATAAGAGAGGAAGTAAAACAAGGGAAATTGCTTTACAAAATTCTAATCAAAAGACTAGACTAGTTGTTTTTTCAAACAAATTAGCTAATTGCGATGAAATGGCAGTCCTCAAAGGAGTAACAAGTTCATCTTTCTTTCACCATAGGGGTTACAGTTCCTTGGCTTGTGCTACTCTGGAATCATTTTACTGTTTCTGTTTTTATTATCTTAAGTGCTAATTAACAAAAGGAAAAAATATCCTGTAGTTTCATTACCTTTTTGGATAATGTCATACAAAAAGAAAAAAAAAACAAACCTATGTATTTGTGTTCTTTTTGTGCTGTGAGAATTGTTGTTTGTAGATTAATAATACTATCATTTTGTTTAGAATTACAAACTAGTTTTTAAGTATTGTCTGAGAAAAGCCAAAGTTAATGCAATCTAGTGGAAACTGTAAGACCATTTGAGTATTGTTTCTGTTTTATTGATGCATTTGGATTTTGTTGTTTGATGGAATTTGAGCCAAAAAAAAAAAAAGAACAAAAAAAAAATGAAAAAAAAGCAGGCTTTCCTATTTCTACAACTTGATTGTACTTATGCATTTTGTACCAGTGGAACTTTTTATACTGGAGATTAAAAAACAAATGGAAATTTTTGTGGCTTACTCTCGTGGGCCCCCTCGATCATGACTGATTTTCAAGTTTGATTTCTGGACGGTAGAAAGAGAGTTGGTTTTGTTTCGAGAATTCAAAACTTTGGCTTGATTTCTTTTTTTCCCTTTGCTTATATCTAGTGTTTAGAATTTTGTCTTAACAAAAGCGGTAAGTTTCACTTTTTATTCTGTATCGTGCAGTTACACAATAAGGTAATTAGAATTAGGAGTACTCGGTCACTTTGCGTGGATAAATGTATTAGTTAAAACGTTAGGGGTTTGCTTTTTTGCTGTTTAGATCAGAGTTTTTTCTGATTCTTCTGTCCTCATTGTGAACATAACCGTGTAGTTGAAACAGTCAGACTTATTTTTGTAACGTATGTTATTGTGTGATGCAGTTTTTTGCTTCTGTCTCCAATATTAAACCATTTTCCTAATACTTGTCTCTCTACTTTGTGTGTTGTATTGTTGGTGGTCATTCTGTGTTGGTAATACATCTACACACCTCACTGTTTCACGTGCCTGTTTTTTTTTTTCTCTATTTGTTGGTTGTGTACAAAAGATACAGTCGATTCCACCTAAGTGAATAGCTGATTGGGGGGCAAAAGAGGATTTGTACATTTTAGACATATTCTGGTTTCTTTGATTTTTTTTTTCTCTCTCTTCCTCCCCCTAGTCATGCCTTATCACTTGGATAATCTCTTGGAGCAGGAAGCATTTTAAATGAGCTTCTTGCAAAGTCCTATTCAAGGTAGCTTTTGTTAGCCTTCGATCTGCAAAACCTTCTGCACACAAACACACAGAAGTCACGGGAAAAGTCGTTTTGGTTTTTTTTTACTGTGACATTTCAGTCAGTCTGGAAAATGTGGATTATGGAGATCAGTTCTTCCTAGTTGTTAAAAAAAAAATAATACTCTGCCACTACTTCGCAGAAGCACATGAAACATTCAAGAAAAGGAGGATATAGCCTTGGGATTTCTTCCAAACTGCACAGTAATCTGATGGCATATGGCGTTAGTCAAACTCTCCTTAGAAACTAATCACGTCTTAACTAGGGCTGTGAGAGCCTGCAAAAGCCTACCAGGTGATCGAGCTTGTTATGTGCAGTTATACATATAATACTTTAAAAAATAAAGGGAGCACAGGAAGACTTTCTATTAAAGCCAGCGGAAGTAAAGAAAAAAAAAAACCACACAAAAATAAAAGGACGGAGAAATAAATGATTGAAAAAAGATCCCCCATTGTTCCAATGGGTGATATTTTTGCTGTGGGCTTACAAAGCAGATCATTCTCAGCATTGGCTGATAGTATTACACAAATCTCAAAAGGGACTAAAGAAATTCCATAGCCCTTTTTTTTCTCATTATTTTTTACAGTTGGCTTTTAGCTTTTTTTATTCTTTCATTTCCTATAATTTTTTTCTCCTCACAAGAATCTCTCTGCTCTCCCCCAGCCGGTGTCTACCACGATGAAATAAAAGCTGCAAAAGAAAAATCTATGTTGTTCTGGTTTACAAAAAGTCTCTTCTCTCCTCTGTTTGATCGCAGATACAAACTTTACAATTTGGAGGGGGGGGAAAGCAAAAACAAAACCAACCAAACCAAACCCAAGGAGGAGAGAGAAGCACTGGCGAGTGCTCTCTGGAATTCAAGCCATACGCCCCCATCCCTTTCCTTTGTCCCACTTTCTGTGATGCTCAGGAATCGAAGACCACTTAAAAGTGCTCTTATGAGACCCAAATGACACTCCTCCCTCTTGTCTCCTCTCCCCTGGTCTTTCTGGCACTCTGGCTTTGGCTCACACACACACACAGCCCCCCTCAATACCGTCTTATTGGTCCTGGCGCACTGAGTGTATCCGTGTGGTTTCAGCAGCAACGTTGGTTCCTGCCTTTGGAAGACTTTTGAAATTTTCTGGTGGCTTGTGAGTTGGCCTGGTTGTTACTGCTCAATGCATTTTTTTTTTTTAATTCTTTTTTCCTTTTTTCACTTTTCCGTTTCCATGAGAAGCAAATAAACAATGAGTCTGGAGCCCCAGAGAAGCTCCAGTGTCATCTCGCAGGGTCTGTTGTCAGAGGTCAGGGGTCCAAGCAACCCTAAGTTTAATCTAAAACCACAGGAGCCTGTAGCAGACAGCCCAGGCAGGAAAGCAGAACCCAGTGGTCGGACTGTATCCTGGGTCTTTGACAATTCTGGAGTTTATGATCCCAATTTGGATAATTTTGACATCAGTGGATTCAGTTAAGTAAGTCTTGACTTGCATGAATGATGAATCAGAATTACTCTCTGGGTTTTTTTAGCTTGCTGTGGATGCTTTATATTTTTTTCTTTTCTCTTTTTTTTCCCTCCAAACTTGGTCTTAAGGAAAGAAACTAGAGCTTTGTGAAGGGTCTTTTCTTCCAAAAATACAACTGAAAAAAAAAAAAAAAAAAAAGACTTAAACTGCAGTTGGGTTTCTTTTAAATACTCAGGGCTGAAAGATACAGGGTTTTCTTTCTTTTTTTCATTCTTTTTATTATTTTATTTCAACAATGGGGAAAAACGAGTTCCTTAAAGCAATGCAGCTGAACAGTTTGTCCTGCTTAAACGCATGCTTTTAATTTCAATTATGTAAGGCACCTTGCAGTGTTAGCAAAATGTCTCTTTGTTAGCTATATGTGTATCGCCATGGGAAATTACCAAACTGTCACAAGACTTGCTGATTAAAGAATAGCCTGCCAGAGTGTGTGTGCCTTTGCCCAGTGTGACTCTTAGGTATTAGGCTAAGGAAAACAGTTTAACAAAATGTAGTGTGAATCATTCCTGATAAGTGAATAAAGCATTGTGACCAAGCAATCAGATTATTCACTTATCAGGAATCGACTGTACTGATAGTTTGCCTGATCGTTTTTGTTCCTCATCTCTGTTGTAGTTTCACTACTTTGCTGTGTTCTGTTTTTTCTCTCATGCTCTTAGCAAAATCACTGGGAATATCCCTTCGTGTGATCATGAAACGTGCTACTGAGTAACAAATAAAAAAAAAAATTAAATATAAAAATGATATCTTAACAAAATCTATGCACTTGCTATCAGGAACACAATACTGGATGTGTCTTATATATATTGAACTATAATAGTATTCGATTTCTTAAATAAAGCTTAAGAAAGGATTCTGTTGTCTGTAAAATTTTATGAGCATTAAATGGAAAAAAAAAATGTTTCTAGGGTTGGGCGCTTTTTGTTATATGAAATCTCACTGGGTGCATGGTCTTTAACCATGCCCAGGCAAATGTTACCTAATTTGCTTGATATTTCATTAATAACAGAGACTTTGAAAATTAGGCTTGCTGAAGTCTGTGGGGAGAAAAAGTCTAACCATTCAGTGACTTGCAGCAAAAGAGACTAAAACGCAGAAATTTCGATCTTCTGTATTTGCAGAAGCAAATGTGCTTGGTTTTGCACTAAAATCAAAAAACAGCTAAAATATGTGAATCAGAAAATGTCATGAAATAATATTACTGTCACAAACGATACTAGAGTTTTTGGTGTGTGACTTTTTTTCCTCCTCATTCTAGGTGGGTTTAGAGCTAAAAAATTAAAACCCATATGCTCAAAATTCCACAGAGTCCACACTGGAGGTCAAAGCATCTTTTGGGGGAACATGTGTGGCTTACTGTACATTTCCTGTATCTGAGCCTTCTCTTAGGCAAACATTTTCACATCAAAACCCATGAATTAAATGGGAATTGAATAGATGAAACTGTTGAGTACACTGAAAAAAATTATTCCTTCAATGGCTGTACATTTGCCACAAAATTGTAGATTTTAAACAATCAGATTTTTATGGAAATGCCCGTAATTCTTGTATTTATCAAACTTTCAATAATGTCAGCCTTTGGCAGAAAGATCCAGGAGAATGAGGGAAGGGGAGGGAGAGGGGTTGCTTTCTTTTTTTTCTTTTGAACTGCATTACTGCCTCACTTTTCATATGCCATTATATTATCTGGAAAAAAAATTAAATTGTGGAAATCTATCCGCTGCTTGTATCATTCTCCTCTATTCATATGTATTTAGTAAATGTTACTGAGCCCAGCATCCAGTGGCCAGGTGTGTTAGCTTTGTAAGCCCAAAACACTGCTCCACCAGAGAGAGGCCACAGAGAGGATTGACCTTGGTGGGCAGCAGGATGGTCCTGTCCATCCCTTGTCTGCACAGAGCTCAGGCAGGGACCCAGCCCTGGTTTTCACAGGCTGCTGATGTAACACAAATATTAAATAATAGCAATGATTAGTTCATATTTGTATTCCCTCTGATTTTCCTCATTAGCAGACTTTCTTTTTTTCCATTAAAGGGAACTAGAAAGTTGCAGTCATTTTCTGAATCATTTGCCCCTGTTGATAACCTAATTGTTTTACATGAATGCTAATATTTCCCTCTCACACATTTATATCTATCAGCTAAATCAGCAGTAAAGTAAACTCTTCTGGGATACATTCCTATATCAATTAGCAAGGATTTATGCTCCAAAGCACCATTAGCATTAATGGGAGTGTGCTCTTTAGCATAAACAATTGGCAGTAGGTCTGGTGGACTTTATTTCATAAACAAAGGAGCATTTGAATCTTGGAGACTTGTTTCCTCAAGACGGTACTTCAGGGAGTGGTGTCCCAGCCTCCCCGGCTGCTCTGGGGACTCTTACTCACAGGACGTGCATAAATTCGTGACTTGCCAGCAAAAGGGGACAGAGTCAGTCTGGAAAGTGGGCTGACTTCTGGTACAAAGTTTTGCTGGTGTTTTCCCTTCTGAAAACCTGCCTGACAACATGCCAGGCAAAACTTCCAGCATTATCTCATGTCCCTCCAACCAGTGGTTTGAAAAATTTTACTCTTGGCATTGTGTAGTGCCTCAGGATGGAGACCACAGAGGGGAGGGAGGAAGGGAGGGATTTCGGACAGAGGCAAAAGGAAGAGCAGAGGTGAAGCCCTGTAGGATAGAAAGGAATGGATTTATCATCTCCTTGACCTGACAGTCTCACAGTTCCATGCCTTTCAGTAGAGAGCTAGAGGGGACCAGCAAATCGCCAGGTCTCGCTTTTCACATGGTCAACAGTTTCTCCCTCACCTCATGTTTGATCAAACCAATAAATACACAAACAAAAGATTTTAATCTTAATTCTGAAGGCACTGGGAGTTGGGGTGAAAGTCCACCCCTTCCCAGAGGTGCATATTCTGCTGAATCCCTGCCCGTGCTTCTGCAGATGTTTTCTCTGTAGGTTCTGGCTCTGCTCAGATCTGCTACATTAAAGAGCCCTTCTGCATCTGCCATTTTCCCCCAAAGACACTCATAAGCAGGTCTCAAGTTGCTTTTCATCCCTCGCTCATAAAATAAATATATCATGCTCTGGAAGCATCTACACACAATAGTGGTTTTTTAGTCCCTGAATAATTTGTGTGCTTTATTTCTACAACTTCTTTCCCCCTCCCCCAACATTCTTTCTAAATTTGGGGCACCAGAGCCAGATGCATTATTTCAACATCAATTCAAGTGATGCAACATGCAGAAATTAAAAATTTCATCCCTAGTCTACTCCTCTGAATGACACAGTCAGGGATTGCATCAGTCCTTGCAAAAATGACTTGCAAAAGCAACAAAAACCCATACTGGCAGAAACTATTTTAGTTGCTCCTTTAGTATGCCAAAATCCCTCTCAGATGTGTTGTGCTCCAGGTTCCTCTGTGTGTGGTCTGCTTGCCTGTTCTTCAACTTGAAAGCTTGCTCACAACTGCACTAAGAGCCCTTTTGTTTAGCTCTTAGTAAAACTGCTGATAACATTGGAAAATGTTGAAGAGGACTATTTACCTCCAACTCATTAGTGAAAATATTGAATAGCATTCAGACCCCCTCTATAAAAATACTCTCCTACAGTGAGTCCCCTTTGACAGCTTCTTTGTTGACATGTCAGCCCATTCTTAAACCATTTTATGTGCCTTGTATTGATAGAGTAGAATGCTAATTTTTTAATCAGAATCCGTTGTGCTGTCAAACGTACAAAAGTCAGAATATATTCCATCTTCGCAATTACTTTTATCAGCCAAAACCTACAATCACATCAAAGAATGAAATCCAGTTTGACAACCCTTCCTCCCCTAAAAAACATGTTGATTGGCATTAATTGTTTACCTCTCCTTTAATGTCTTTATGCCCATATCAATATGTCCATTATTTTGCCAAAGCAATGTCAAACTAGCCAACCATGGGCTGGGCCATCCTGCTTGTCTTTTTGAGTGCAAACATGAGAATGTCACATTTCCCATTCCAATCTGGGATTCTGCTGGTGTGCTTAAATATTCCTAAGGGCCTGTGTCAATGGGTCAGAGCTTTCTGCCCTATTCTTAGACCTGGGGCTACTATATCTTTAATAAAATAGTAGCTAAGTAGACTTTTACAGAGTTGGACCAGAAATCATTTGAGCCTTCTCCTGGCATGTAAGTATGTGAAAGAAGAGAATTTTTGACATTTCCCCTTTTTCTGCAGCATGACTAGAAGATTTCCCATCTCCAAAAGCCTAAGTTCAATGATAAAATAAACATACTCACAAATTTTTGCAGTTGTCCTGCCCTTCTCACTCAGGTAGAGTTGACAGAGAGAACAACAGGGCAACACGTTTATTTATGATTATATATATGTATATATTATATTATTTAAAGGTCAATAGGAAGCACAGGTGAAGGCAAAATATTTTTTCATTCATCATCCTCCTCTGAACAGATACAGGTGCTTTCATTAGGGCACATGGGAGATAAAGCCCTGTGGCTTTGAAGCAAACAGTGCAGAAGGGTCAGGATCAACCTGGGGAGTGGGGAATACCTGGGACCTCTTAGAGAAGAGAGGTCATTTGGAAATCAGAAGAGACCTGAGTTAGCCTAACAGACCTGACACCATACAGTTAAAAAGGGATAAGCAGCAGCAATAACAGAGGAAGGTGATGTGCTGTTCTATGCAATAGGCACAGGTGCTGTTTCAGGCCACATGTTGCCATACAGGTATGCTGGCCACAGACCTTAGAGGTGCTGAGATATCAATGCATCTGCTCAGGAACCTCAGCCTCAGCCCAGCACTCCTCAAAGCAGACACAGGCCGCTGCTTTACCCTGTAGACATCTTTACTGGAGAGGGTAACATAAATACAGCCTGGAGACAATTATTCCCATCTGAAGAACAGGGAGTAAAGGAGCTGTCTGAAGCTGTCACTGCCTTTCCAATGGCTGTAAGAGGACAACAGGAGCAAAATTCAGTTTTCTTAGTAGAGGCACCAAGTATTGCCCCAAGTGCCCAAGGATACCCTGTCAGCTACAACCACTGTAACAGAAGAGCACAGGTGTCCTTTAGGTCTTTTGTCATACCTGCCAGCCCCGTGTGGGTGTTTCAGAGTACTGCAGGTATCTCAGAAGGCACTAGGCACCCCTGTTTAGGCCATTCAGTCAGGCCCTGGATGACTTGCTCAGCCAGCTCAGAGACCCAGGTACACTAAAGCCTCAGCTCCCATGTTGGGCAGCAGTAAATGGCAGCAGAGTTATCCTGCCTGGCCTGAAGTAGCCAAGTACAGCTGAATTTTTTTGCCAGATGTAAGCACCTAGTGCTGTTTGAGATGTCCTATAACCTCCAAAACCTCCACAAAGGTGTAGATGTGGCACTTAGGGACATGGTTTAGTGGTGGACTTGGCAGTGCTGGGTTATTAGTTGGACTCAATAGTCTTAAAGGTCTTTTCCAACCCAAAAGATTCTATGATTCCAAGGGCTTGCAGATGTGATGCAGAATGAGTAGGACACTTGTGACCACCAGCATGGGATAGCCTAGGCTATTTCAAAGCTCTAAATAATATAAGCATAAGGAGCTGGTGCATCCAGATACCCAGCTAAGGATCCCTAAGCTTAGGAGGATGAGTCTGTGAGCTGAATCCCACTTTAAGGCTTATATTCACTTTCCTAAACCTGGGCCATGTTGATACTCCAGGGCAACTCAAATGGCATTGATTCCTGCATTTATTAAAGAAAAATTGAGCTCTAGGGGTCTAATTTGTAGACGGCTGAAGGTGAAATTCAGTGAATCCTATTGTTAACAAATGAGCCCCAGGTGAAGTCCCACAGGCCCTAAGTGGGGATTGTACTAA